ATATATATATATATATAACACATCTTCTTGATCCACTCATCTGTTTTGGAACACTTAGGTTGTTTTCATAACTTGGATACTATAAATAGAGTTTCAGCTTTCCTTTCAAATTAGTGTTTTTTATGTTCTTTGGGTAGATACCTTGGAGTGGAATTGCTGGGTCAGTCCTTTAGCAGATCCTCTGCACTGGAGCTGTGAGTACAAGGAATAAGCCAGCCCTCATCTTCATCCACTACCACCTCCCTCAACCTTACACGTAGAGTTCCTGTGTCCTCTCCAGGTGTACCATTCTCCCCAAATCTTCACAAGTTCATCAGCCTAAATGATGCATGGTACCTTGCTTTTCACAGTGAAATATAAGTTTCATATTTTGTCTCCTTTATGAAATACTTAATAGTATTTATGTTGTTTGCTGATTATTTTAGTGCAAGTAGATTGTCTAAGGGTATACCAAGAGACGCTGAGGTCCTGTCATGATGAAGATAAAAATAAAGTTCACCAGGGAAGTGCACGGGACTATGGTGACGGCACACGGGTGACTTGGTGATGAGAAACCCGCGGGGATTACAATTGAGATGAAAAAAAAAATGTACAAAATGATGTAAAAAATAAACTGTTATAAAAAAAATTTAAAAATTAAAATTAAAAAAATAAAGTTCACCAAGAGAGATAACTGGATATGTGGTATACACTTAACAGATGATTATTAAAAATACAGAATAGGCAGGCCTCCACTGGGCAATTTGGGGATAGAGGGTGACATATGGTAATTTCTTGTCTCAGGCTCAGCAAATATTTGTAAGAAGTAAACAAATCTTTCAATGAACAAGCTGCTTGTCATCTGTCAGTCCTTTCAGGGAACCGGATCTGCACACTCCACCCTCTTTTCCAGCATCTGACATAGGTGATGACAACAAGGTTAATGAGTCTTTGAAAAAAAAAAATGTTTGAAAGGATTTTAGCTTGGCTATAGTTATTGTCCCTCATATTGGTGACAAATGCAAATAATGTAATAATTTGGGGTCAAAGGGTTAATGTCCTATGACAAACTACTGGTGATAGCTTGTAAAAAGGTGTAGTAGATATTATTGTATGTATATATATTTGCCTATATATATAGGGTAAAGAAAGATACTTCTAAACCAACATTTTCCAGAGAGAGGGAAATGCACAGCAATGAGGTCGCTTAAGACTTCAGTTTTCATCCTGGTTCTTCACTTTCTGGAAGGGGCCCTAAGCAACTCACTGATTCAGTTGAATAATAATGGCTACGAGGGCATTGTCATTGCAATTGACCCCAATGTGCCAGAAGATGAAACTCTCATACAACATATAAAGGTAAGTTCAAAATGGTAATTATCCATAATTAAAAGTTAAGCATAAAGTGAGAGAAACTGATTTCTCTAACTCCAGCTGTGTGACATTAGCAAGTGTCTCAGTCTCATGTCTCTCAGTTTCTTTAATTGTAAAATGGAAATATCAGAATTTAGTCATTAAGATTCTTGTAAGGGATGAGATAAATGCATATAACTCAGAGTTTGATACATTATTGGGATTAATACATAATTCCTACATTTATTGACTGTGGATTATTTCATTGAGAATTATTTAGTTCTGCACTAAGGCAGAGCCAGTTACATTTGGCAGATACTATGAGATGTACAGATAATTCCTTTTCTTGACTTTACCATTAACATATCAGATTTTTCTTATCTTCTTCTAGTTGAGAGCCCCTACTCTGTGATCCTGTATAGGAGCGCAGGATACAAATCTCTGACTTAAGAAAATGCCTATTTGTTCAAAGGGAGGTAACCCTAGATTTTTCTTGCTGTTTCTTCTGTGGGGGAAACTCAGGGAAGAAGACTCTTCCTAGTACAGACAGAGGTGACTAACTGGTATAAGGTGGAGAGATTAAAGAAAGGATGTTCAAAAGCAAATAGAATAAGAGGAGAGGCCTCATAAAAGAACACCTTGGAATCTGAATGTGGCACATTCAGAGGCAGTATTGAGTAATGAGTAAAAAGTACTGTTCTGTAATGAAGGGATAATTACAAATTCCTTCCTCATGAGATCAAATTTAACAATGCTGGGTAAAGGGTGTATGGGAACTCTACTATTTTTTATTAGTTAAATCTAAAAGCATCTCAAAAATTTAAAAAACTTTAAATTTAAAAGTCATTTAAAAAAATGGTTGCATTGTGCCTGTTATATAGCAAGAAATCAATAAGTGATAGGCATAGTCATCAGTTACTGGCCCCCCTTTAGTCCTTGCAGATGAAAAGGATTCATCCTCCTTGACCAAACCAAAGGGACTGAAGCTTATATTTGAACAAAATTCTTGAGTATGAATTCAAAAGTTTATAGTGCAAGGTCACTCCCAAAGATTCTTTACTTTGTGCAACAGCAAACCCAGAAAGCTGAAGGGTAGAGAAGAACATCTTTACTACCAAGAGGAATTTGGGGCTGGAAAATTGCAGCAGTTGAAGGGAGAATGGAGACAAGGCCATTAAATGGGAAGACTATCGGGTGTTGTTGCCAAAGGAGAAATGACAATTCACACCTTTTGAAGTCTCTCAACAATCAGAAAACTTGAATGAGTTTTTGATGGCCTCTGAAATTAGAAATGGTATCAGCAAAAATAAAATAATCACTTAGAGTTAGAAGTAAAGTGTAGGAGAAAAACGCAGCCATCATGATTCTCTCTGGCTAGACAGTGGGTGGGGCTCAGAAGCATGCCAGAAGGAAAACACAGAACTTTTGTCTAAAGACATGGTAATTTGTATTATTATGGGGCTTTAGAGCTTTAAAAGTGCTTTCACCTCCCTGTCTTGGTGGAGGGAGGGAGTTGGAGGGTTAGGGATCCCTGGGGATTCCTCCTGGAAATGTACTTCTCATATCAGTTACTAAATTAGCTTCTGGTATGAGTTTTCAATGAGCTAGGTATGAGATAAATGGTTTTCACATCTCCTCCATAACAGGACCACTTCGAAAGGCAACAGTGTGCTCAGGAACCCAAACTAAGTAGGTAGAAAAAAATGAGTTCCTCCCTACTGATATTCTAGATCTGCAGTTAAGAGACCACATAGTGGACTTTGCCACCTTCCCTCCCCCCCCCACCCCCCAACCTCTCACTTTCTACTACTAGAGGGAAGACTCCCCCTAGTGACTTCTGAAATCAGCTTTGAAATACTTGCTTCAGGCTCTAGACAGTGCCCAAGTTTTTCTATCCCTATATGACCAGCAGATGGCGATGCAGCAGTTCTAGCCAGAGGTAGTTCTCTCTCTCTCACACACACACACACCACACGGTAGACAATGGGAATTTAAGGATTCCTACAATCCATGGAAGTCCATACATGCTGTTGTGGCATTATAGTTTGTCATTATCCAACAAATATTTATAAAGCATCTGTATTATGTTAGCTGAAAAATACACAGTCCCTGAGGTTAAGGAATTATTGATTCATTTTATGATCTGTCATTCTTGACTTTCTCCAAATCTCAAACATTTAAATGTTTATGTAGAAATGAGGTCACATCTTGGAAAATCTTCTGGATCAGAAGTCAAACAAAGATTGCTTATCAATGTTTCTGTTAAACTCTGGAAAGCAAGAGCATTTTATCTGCTCATTCTTCCTGGAGGACACTGAATTTTCATACTTGAAATTCAAGTAGTAATATAATACTCTAACATAGGAAACCTTATATTTGTTCTGCTTATACTTGATTTTAGTGATCTTAGCTCAGTGTTTATTCTTTTTTAATGATATAATGTTAAATTCTCCTAATATTAAAAATCTGACATTTTTGAAAGGAAATACATTCAAACCATTACACGAGATTTTCAAACTAGCAAGACAACTGATTTTATCAAGAAAGGAGGGGGAAAATACTGGAGATAACATAAATTCCCCAGGTTTATTCTATTTAAAAGTGGCAGTGGCCCTCCCTGGTGGCGCAGCGGGTTAAAGCACAGCACTGAGAAGCCAAAGCCACTTCCGCATGAGTTCGATTCCCACCTGCCCGGGAGGAGACCACATGGCGTGGCAGACCTCTCCTGACCCGCCCGCTGCTCCCCTCAGCAGTGTACTTCGTTGATCTGCCTGTTCTGTTCCCCACTCTGTCTCTGGTGAAGCCTCTCACCGCCCCTGAGCCTCTGGCCTGTACCCCAGTTCTGTATGCACAAATAAATAAATCTTTAAAAAAAAAAAAAAAGTGGCAGAATAAGATTCACCTCAACATCAATTCAAGTACTGCTCCCCTCCTTACCCACCCCATCCCATATAATGATGATATGTTTCTGTTCCTAGAGTCAATCCCACTAAACACAGGAGTCTAGTCACTCTGGTCTGCTCCAGTGAGTACTTTCTTTCTGCCGTGGTCCATAGAGATCCTTTTCTCTTGTATGATCAGATTTTTTTCCATTAACATATACACATCATAGTAGTATCCACTAAACAAAACTTCCTTGCCCAGAGTTCCTCTTTTCCTAATTCTTTATTTCTCCATTCTGCTTTAATTTACACAAAAACTTCTTGGCCTGTTACATGTATTCACTATCTCTACTCCTTTACCTCCCACTTGCCTGGATTCACTTATATGAAGCTGTGTCCACTCAACTAAAATGGCTCACCCACTTGCCATTGCTATAGCTCAGTTCTAAGTTCTCACCTTACGTGTTTTCTCAGTTGCCCTTGAACCAATGGCCACTCCCTCCTTCCTGAAATACACCCAACACATGCCATCTGACTTCCTTTCTTGCACCAGCTGTTCTTTCTCATTCTCATTTGCCAGCTCCTAATCCCCCTAATAAATGCAGGGGTCTCCCCAGGACCCAGCCTTGAGTCCTTATCTTTTCTCTGTCTACACTTGAATTTTTGTATTGTTCAGTGGTTTTCAGTTCAAACAAACCCAAGCCCCTTTCTACAATATCTTATAATACTCCCCATATCTTGTCATGGTGCATTTCAAAACATCTGCAGAAGTATTTATAATGTTAATACTACAGCTCTTTCATTTCAGAGATCAGTAGATATAATTCGAAGAGAAATTATGTAATTATGACACCCCCTTATGTCTAGCACAGTACTATGAATAAATAAATCTTTTTATAAAATTTAGTTAACCCCCAAATTATCATAGGAGCCAACAGTTATTAAAACTGTATTCATTTAATTTGAAGTTTTTCCCCAGTACTACTTCATAGACTTTGAGACTTACACACTCTAATTCTCCATTTTTTAAAGATTTAATGATCCTTAAAATCCTTGAAGGAATAAATGAAAGTAAAGCTAACATTTCATAAGCATCGTGCTAAGCAAATTTGGTTCCATATTCTTTCTTGATATCAACTGATTCTCACATTATGAATTATAATACTGTCCATTTTGTAAATGGGGAAACTGAAGTTCAGAAGGACTTGAGGAAGTTTCCTGGTGTCCTGGAGTAAGGGGTAGAGGCAGGTTTAGTGTCTGCACCTGGAGTCTGCATTGGCAACTAATATACTATGATACAGAGCATGTGGTAAGTGCTCAAAAAGGCTAGTGAATACTAATGAAAGATATAGCCAGCCACATCTCTTTCCATCTTGATAAGTTATCAGTTTTTTGAAATACAGGTGCAAATTTGAATGATTGGCAATACCATCTGTTTTCTGTTATAATTGTGCTTGTTCTGTTCTATTTTTTCCAGGACATGGTGACCCAGGCTTCTCCCTATCTGTTTGAAGCTACAGAGAAAAGATTTTACTTCAAAAGTGTTGCCATTTTGATCCCTGAAACATGGAAGACAAAACCTGAGTACAAAAGACCAAAACTTGAGACCTATAAGAATGTGAGAATATCAAGATCTTCTTTCAAATTTGATTTTCTTCTGTGATTCCGATGTTTTCACCAAAATATTTTAGAATAAAATGTTATTTCAAAAAACTCCAGTATGATTTATGGAAAATTTGTAATGATGAACACTTTTTCTCAATTTTCAGGCTGATGTTTTAATTGCTAAACGTAACGTACAGGGTGATGATGAGCCCTCTACTGAGCAGATGGGAAACTGTGGAGAAAAAGGTGAAAGGATTAATTTCACTCCTGACTTCGTAATGGGAAAGAAGTTACCTATCTATGGGCCACAAGGTATGGTGAGAGATGAAGTATCCTGCTGTATCTTATAATTAGATTAAGTATATACTCAAAATAGATCAACACCAGCATTATCATTCTAAATTAAGAACATGTAAGCCAAATAAACTATTATGTTTTTAACTTAAAACAGGGGCTCATAATACTGCATTTCTCAATTATAAAATTTATTTCTTCAGAATTATAATGCAGATCCTGATTCTGTAGGTGTTGGGGTGGAACTAAAAAACCTGTATGTTAAATAACTTAAGTACTAGATAGATGATCCTTGCAATTCAGTTTGAGTAAAGGGAAAAGTCTGAGTAAAGGGAAAATCTAATATTCCCTGACAAAATAGATTCTGTCATTTTTGTGTGTTATATGGAGCAATTCTTGATTATAATAATAAACAAGCAATGGAGTATACATAGAAAATGTACTTTCCAAGTATAACTAAATGTGATTAGTTCTAAGTTAATGAAGCTTTCTTTACTGTCTTGAAAAGATGAGAACCTGCTTAATTTTCTTCATTTAAATAGGAAAGGCAGAGAAACAGACTAACAAATGACAGGATGATGGTGTTTGCATGCTCTATTCTCAAACACTCTAGAGCACTTACAGGCCTTATCAAAAATAGATGTCAAGCAAATTCTCTTCTTTGATGTTCTTTTACAAAACTCTGCCTATTACATAACAGAAAACCAAAAATTTCCTACATATGGCTTAATAAAGTTGAGTTGTGTTGATATACCTAACTGTCCCACCCCATTCTACTGCCCACTCCAGTTATCTTGATCATCACATATACTGTAATTCCTTTATCACTTCCCCTTTCTTTACTGTGACCTCACACCTGCTCCCTCATAATCTTCCCCTCCCTTTAGGAGGCCATCAATTGCTCCACAGCACCTGCAGAATGGTCAAAATCCTTGTGAGCTACTTAGGCTTCTTTGTCATGCACACTCTCAACTAAATCTCCAAATACAGCCTACCAAATTTTCTGGAATTTACATTTCAGAAAATCAAACTACATATGTCACTAAGATCAATCCAAATTTAACAAGCACTCTATGAATGATTAAGTTCTAGCCACTATGCCAAGAGATGACAATTAAATCCCTGGTGCCCACAGGGGTAAAGTGTCAGCACTATCAAGATATCCTTAGCCATTGAGGCATGAGTTCAATCTCTGGCCAAGGAGTTGACCCACATGGCACAGCAGACTCTTCTGTCTTGCCAGCTGCTCCCCTCAGCAGTGTATTTCAGTAGATTTGCCTATTCTGCTCCCCATCCTGTCTCTGGTGAATCCTCTTGCCCCTGCACCTCTGTTCTTGTATGCATAAATGAATGAAATGAAATCTTTAAAAAAAGGAAAAAAAGAAATCATGGTGCCTATTCTCATGGAGACAAGGGTCCATTATGGGAGACTATTTAGTAACAGTGCTGACAACAGAGGATGACAAGTGCCATATTGGAAAATAATGACAGTACAAAGGAGGGGTACTTATACTAGCTTAGCACATCAGTGAAGATGTCTTGGCTCATATGAGCTTGATTTTGAAAGAATAGTCAAAGGCAGAGAGAGAGAGAGAGAGTATTTCAAGTAGAGAAAAACCATGTAAAAATGGCCAGAGATCAGTAAGAGTATATTGTAGATCTGGAAAGTAAAGGAAGCTCAGGAATTGATTAAGATTTTAGATTTTTGAAAGTGGATAAAGAATAGCAGGAAATACGGTTGCAGAGGGATAGGTCCAAGAGGTTGGACTTAAACCTGAGCAATATAAGGGAGGCATGGAGGCCATGTGGATGGCTATTGCAGCAATTCCGGAGTAAGTGGAAATGAGATCGGAAAGATAAGAATATGTCAAAGTAAATAGGCAGAAGCAGAGTAGGCAGGCCTAAAGGTTTGACCAGATTATGAACCATGAAGGAGAAGGACCTACTGTGGATGCTGCCCTAATAGTCTTCTGGATGCCTCTGGCTCCCACAGCAGCCTGCCCTTCCCTCCATCACCATTGGCATGGACAGGTATTTTCGATCTCTACTTTTGCCTGCCCTCCACTAGTCGGGGAGCAGGTGGAGACAGTACAGTAGTTCATCTTGTTCTGAGCAAATGCCTGGCACTTACTAGGTGCCCAAGAAACATTTGCTGAGCCAGAATATGTACTTATATTTTACAGAAGTGTACACTTGTCATACTAAATTTCTCTTTTTAAGAAACCAAAACTTGGGCCCCCCCTGGTGGCACAGTGGGTTAAAGCACAACACTGAAAAGCTTAAGCCACTTCCCATGAGTTCGATCCCTGCCTGCCCCAGAGGAGATCCACAGGGTGTGGTAGACCTCTCCTGACCCGCCTGCTGCTCCCCTCAGCAGTGTACTTCATCGATCTGCCTGTTCTGCTCCCCACTCTGTCCCTGGTGAATCCTCTCACCCTCCACATCTCCGGCCTGTACCCCAGTTCTATATGAATAAATAAAAAAAAGAAACCAAAACTTGCAAAAATTACAGAGCATGTTCATAACACAACAAATTTATAACAAAGCATAACACAATTCAGAAGAATTACTTTGTCCCAGCCTGAAGAAATAATTTTGACATTCTTATTGAAATCAGGTATTTAAATTATTTTCTCACAGGAAGGGTATTTGTCCACGAATGGGCTCACCTACGATGGGGAGTATTTGATGAATATAACAATGATGAGAAATTCTACTTATCTGGTAGAAAAATCAAACCAGTAGCGTAAGTATATTTTGATCTAACTTTTCCCATATTACTTGATATTGGAACCAAATTTTCTTGTATTGATTAATTTAAATTATGTTTATTTTCATTCTCAATTAATATCTATTTTCAGATTCCCATAAAAGTACCATTTCTGTTCACTTTACAAGTGCCTCTGTCTGCAGCTATAAATCATTTGCCTCATGTATGTGTGTGTGCATGTGCAGGTTTTTATGAAAGTCCATACACACATGCATAACTATAAAAAACTATAAAAAAAATTATAACTGTAAAAAAAACCCACAGGTGTTCAGTGTCTTTATCACCCAGATTTAATGACATAAACAAAACTAATGAGACCCTTCAATGTCATGAGAGAAGGTTATCTTTGTAGATTATCAGGATGAGTGAGACTTGGAGGGATTGTGAAATTTACCTGAAAAATGAACCAAATATTAAAACAGAAAATTTCTCCAACTTGAAATAATCCATGTAGTAAAAAGCAGACTGAAACCATGGAAAATACCTTTTGCCTGTTGTGATTTTTATGGGGTAGCTCTCGCAACTAACAGTTTCAGTAAATATAAACTGCTTTACAGTTTATATGTAGAATCATAAACCATAAGAAACTTTCCATTTTAAGGAGATCACATATTTCAGATACTGAAACCTGACAGATGGCATGAAAAAAAATGTACAGATACAGCTTTCCAAAATTAAGTAATTAATTGCTGTACTTTCTACTTTTTTGTTATCTTTCCAGATTTTTGATAGTGTTCATACAGTGTTTACATGCTAAAAAGTAAGACATGTTGGAGGAGGAAGCATCCACTTATAAAAGGCAATAGGATTCATTAAGAAAAACTTAAAAGTACCTAGGAACATTCAAGAGCCACACAAAACTATCATATAAACTAAACAGGAAAAATAGCAACAGGAATCATCTGCATGCCTTTTAAGGGAAACTTTTAAGAGGACTTCTGACTGTCCAAAAGGGACAGGATGAAAACAGGAGGTGTCCAGGGAATTTAACTTTGCTAATTCTCATGCCAGCTACAGCCACACTCAGCTGTTCGGCTGCACAAAAAATCTGACACTGTTTTGATACTATTTGGGGGGCCTCTTAAGATACTTTCTAGCAGACAACAACAAAAATAAATCTAGTAAGAATTTAGTGATTGTGCTATTATAGGATGTATTTCTTTCTTGGATTATGAGAGGAAACCATTGACAAGTCCATCTGTCAGAAACTGACCAGTCTAACTCTCTCAAATGATCACATGACCTAAATATCTAACTAATGTGTTTTCAGGTGCTCCAAAGCGATTGCTGGGGAAAATAAATATCTGCAATGTCAGGGAAACAGTTGTGTTGAGAAAGCATGCAAAATTGACAAAAAAACCGGGCTGTACAATAAAGAGTGTGTGTTTGTACCTTATGCTGTCCAGAAGGAAAAGGCTTCCATCATGTTTTCACAGGGGGTTGAATCTGTAAGTATACTCTTCTTCTTCTTGATACTTATGAAGGTAGTAAGCATTTTAATCCCATGTACTGCAAGAGGGTCCAATTTCAGGAAATTATCAATGAGCAGCTGATCCTCAGCAGGAGAGTTCTGTGGGAAGACAAAGTCAGAATAAAGTGCTGCCGTTACCTGTATGCCTTCCTGGGCTCCATTCTCACTTCTCTATCATCTTACTCTCACTTGCTTTTAGGTAAAATACTAAGCATCATTTCAAAAGTAAAGACAGACAAGTGCAAAAGTTCTTAGTTTAAAAAAGGCATTTTACCCAAGGGTATCAGAGATTATCGTGAATAAGATGGATAGTCTTTCTTTAAAAAAAGATTTATTTGTTTATGCATACAGGACTGGGGTACAGGCCAGAGGTGCAGAGGTGGTGAGAGGATTCACCAGAGTGTGTTCTGGGGAGCAGAACTGGCAGACTGACAAAGTATACTGTTGAGGGGAGCAGTAGGAGGGTCAGGAGAGGTCTGCTGCGCCATGTGGGTCACCTCCGGAACGGAGATGGAACTTGCATCGAGGCGGCTGCCTTACAGTGCTGAGCTTTAACCTGTTGTGCCACCAGGGAGGGCTGAGATGGGTAGTCTTTTACTTAACTTCCAGGGTGCTCTTTTTAGCCTGCTTATTTGCTTTAGGTTGTTCACAGAAATTTTCTATCTTTTTAATAATGTGGTGCCCTCAAAGAGTTCATACATAGTTTTAGTAGCTTTTTCTTGTTTTTTTTTTTTTCAGTGACCAAGTCATAAAATGAACTTGCCTAATTACTTATCCATATTAATTCTAAGTATATATGCAAATTTGCAAAAACTAAGATTAAGATAACTTACTTTAGTGGGAATCTTCTCTTCCAGTTTCTTCCATAAAATTATATTTTTGCTTTTGGGATAGAGGGTATAGTAACTTGCAAAAGTCTGTCAATACCATTGAGCCATAATTTTTTCTTTAAGATGTATTTATTTATGCATACAGAGCTGGGGTATAGGCCAGAGGTTCAGGGGTGGTGAGAGGATTCACCAAAGACAGGCCCACTGACCAAGTATACTGCTGAGGGAGCAGTGGGTGGGTCAGGAGAGGTCTTCCGTGCCATGTGAGTCACCTCTGGGCGGAGGGGATTGAACTCATGCTGAAGTGGCTTTAGCTTCTTAGTGCTGTGCTTTATCCCACTGCACCACCAGGGAGGGCCCTGAGGCATAAAATTTTAAACGGTGATGTTCTATGGTTCATCAGTCCCCCCTTAGTCTGTCTGGTGTGGTAGTCCACTCCCACACTTGTACGTACAAACACTTCTAAGATGGTGTAGAAGTTAGAAGTCTTAAATTAACCATGAACTTCATGCTTAGTAAAGTAAGCCAAGAAAGAAAAGGAAAAATACCGGATGGTGACACTCATAGCAGGAGTATAAAGGACCAGGGGAGAAAATAATAATAATGAACAACTATATATCACAGGCATTTTATCGGGGTGGAGTGGGGAATGGGATAAAAAATGGGGGGGGGGTGGAAGAGTACTGGACTATGGTGATGGCACACAATTGATTTGGTGATGGGAGGCCCACAAAAGGATTACAACTGAGATGGAAAAGGGCACAAAATGATGTAAGAATAAACTATTATATTATTATAAAAAAATAAATTAACCATGAACTTAAATTGGACACACAGTCAGGTTTGGGAACTTCTGCCTATGGTTCACACAAAAGTTTTTCAGGTTCCTGTGCAATACTGACAGTATGCAAAAATTACTAACGTGCTCAAAAAATGTAAACAGAGGGAAATTTTATAGTTAGTGATTGCTTTTTAAATTACTGAATCTCATGTTTTAGATTTTTAATTGAATGCAAATAAGTCACTAAAAGGAAAAATTGTCACACTTTCTTTGTATACGGATCCTTTTTAAATCCTCCAATTATTAAGAATATAAATACGATGGGGACAATCCATTTATCAGCAGTGCTAGTGCTGAGCCTACTGCACATGTTCTGTGTTTTTGCATAATAACAATTTCCATTTTATAAATAAAATAACTGAGGTATAGATTAGGTGTGATTATTTATAAAATGATAAACTTCTACTGAGCTTTCATTGTGTCAGACACTTTTAAGGAAGCAAAATTTAATGAGACTCATTTTTGTCACATATGGACTGATGACCCAGTAACATCTTGCTGAAGTTTCTACAAGGTACAGCATTGAGTGGAAATTTGTGGGGGGTGGAGGGCTCAAGGGGTCAGGTTGTCATGGGAAAAGAGACAAGAAACCATTTTGAATGTGATCATTGACTGAAATATGAAGGTGGAGTTCAAAATGCAGGAGAGAAAGTGGAAATCCTTGAGAATGGGAAGCATAAGCAAAGGCATAGAGATATAAAATAGTTGGCAAGTATAAGAACTTATAGGATCTAATTGGAAATTTAAAAAGCCAGAATAATGATGGAGAGTGAAACAAAAGTCCAAATCATGAAGACTGGTGTTTGCTATATGAAGTAACCTGATTGTAATATATGAACAATGATAAACCACCAAAGAGTTTTAAGTACAGGAGGAAGATTTCTCACGCAGAGAATCAGACCTAGCTGATTAAACTATTTTAATTAAATTAAACATTTTTAACAACTCATTTACTGTTCTCATTACAATTTCATTGATAATTTCAGGTGGTTCATTTCTGTACAGAAAAAAACCATAACAAGGAGGCACCAAACCTGCAAAACAAAAAGTGCAATCTCCAAAGCACATGGGAAGTGATCCAAGCTTCTGAAGACTTCAAGAAAACGACTCCTATGACAACACAGCCACCCAGCCCCTCCTTTTCACTGCTGCAGATAGGACAGAGAATTGTGTGCTTGGTTCTTGATAAGTCTGGAAGCATGGCGGTATGTTCGATGATGGTCCTCAGGATGCTGGTTTCACATTTGTATGATCTGATCTGGACCACAGATTGGAACTGGTTGGAAATAAACCCAGTCCTGAGAGTTAGGACAGTTACAGAAAAAAATCATTGGCATGGGAAGAAGCCAGTCCACTGTACTTAACAAAAATTTAGAATCAAGTGTATCATACACCAAATTAAATTATCTTTCAACTATGAACAAGCAGCTGATGAACTGAACAGACATATTATCTTTTATGCTTCACTGTCACTGCTAAGGTCTACAGAACCAGTACCAAAGCACTGAACTAATGATAATCTAATCTGACTTTTATCTTTTTGGGTATTAAAATACAACCCAAAGATGTTACAAATATAAAGTAGAGATTTCCCCTTAAAGATGGATGTGACTTGAATAAGCTTGTCATTTATGTGATGTTGAAAATAGCCACTTCCAAATTTCCTGTTCTGTTAAGTCTGCCCACCTAAACCAGTCTGACTGCTTTTCTTCTGCTTCTCCATTTAGATTGATAGCCGCCTTCAACGACTGAATCAAGCAGGCAAACTCTTCCTGTTGCAGACTGTTGAACAAGGGTCCTGGGTAGGGATGGTAACATTTGACAGTGCTGCCTACGTAGGAAGTGAACTCATACAGATAAACAGCGGTACTGACAGAGACAAGCTCACCAAAGCTTTACCCACTGTGGCCTCAGGAGGAACATCCATCTGCTCTGGGCTTCAAACTGCATTCACGGTGAGACAAGTTCCACTACTGAATTTTGCCAGTGTTGCAGTTAATGTTTTCTACAGAATTCCTTTTTCCAATTTTTTCATACCTTCCTAGTGTCTGGCTGATGTAGAACTGCAGGCAAAACAGTGATTCAATTAATGCAAAATTATTTGCATTACTATTGCTAGCTCTTTCATTCATGTTTTTGTACTTTTCTATATCTGTGCATTCATGCTTTTCTGCATGCATGTTTGCATCCAAAATACTCATAGCATGCCTTCTACAAGGCATACCTTCTACATACTAGGCATTAAGACTACAATTAAGGCCAAGCAGACACCTTGCCTCTATAACAGAACTTGTGATCTTATTGGAAGAGATATTAACCACAGTCACACAAGTAAATATAATTCATAAACTATAACAAGTACTAAGGAGTAAAGTTACACAGGTATATAAGTAACACTTCTATGAGGAAAAACAAATGCATTCTGAATTCTGATAAACATTGAGGTAGCTAAGTATTCCAAATGTCTGGGCATGTAGGACCTCCTTTTGAACAAATATTTTACTATTGACATTATGTACTGCAATTATGATTGTATTGGGGAGTCTATTCAAAAGCTATCTGATTATCAGCTCACTTCATCCTTCAACTTAAATAGCATTGTCTCCCCATTTTCAACAGAATTAAGGATAACATTTCCTAATATTTAAGATCTTTCTTAATCTAGCCTCTATCTTTCTAGGCTTCAGTCCTCTCTTTGAGGCTTCCTATGTTTAAGCAAGTTGGATCACCTGTCTGAACGTCACACTTTGCCACTTTCCCGCAGCTCTGTCTCTTCCTCCCTTGGTATCTTGAATCACACACATTCTTTACGAACACCAACCTACTTTTTGACAGCATTCCTGACCCAGTTAACTCAGTAGATTCTCTTTTGAAGTCCTCTGACTTCTAAAAGAATTTATCATAGGACTTCTATGCTCTGCTGTCTTTTTTGTTTTTTAAAAAGACAGGTTCACTAAGAAAAGGAGAAAATGAGAGGCACTTTCATTGTTACAGGAGCGTGCAGGAGAATGCCTCTTAATCGAAGGCTTTACTTGAGCAAAATCCTTCTTGAGGCTGCTGGCAAAGTATCTTTCACAGAGGAGTTCTCATTACGTTCAATTATTTGATTGCATTAATAACACCTGCTGCTTAATCACCTCCAGTATAGAAAACAGTGTTCTATGTTTATTCAGAGGGTTAGTCCCATGAAACAAAGAATGGAAGGGTGGGAGGAGGTTTGTGTTAGCTCTCCAGTGTTGGGCAAGTCTGCCCTCTGTCTGCTTGTTGTGTTTATGACATGTCCATGGAGCTGGCCCAGATTCCCATGAAGCAGCAGGAACATTTCATTTTAGCTCATGCTGTTTGATGTGGACCCTGGACTCAACCATTTCTTCAAGTGTTGTTTCTCTCGCTCTTCTATTCCTTCTTAAAATCCAGATCCTAAACATGGTTTCTATTTTGGCTCAGTCAGTTGTCAAGCCCTTCTTCAAACACTTGTGTATGTCTGGGTTCTCTAGTCTTTGCTACTCACCCCAACTTTGATTACAAAAGCAAATGAGGAAAAACTAAATCACGGATTTCTCATTCTGAACTCTTGATATGTAAAATCCTATGGGAGATGACTAAAGCCAGATGGCTTGGTGCGGTCAAGAAAGAACCTACTCCATATTTTCTGTTCAGATGTATGAGAGAAAATGAGGGAATTAGAACACTTCTCCTGTCCAATAGAGTCCAGACGTGGAGTTGTAGGAGTTTGTGTGTGACTTTTTGGGTGGTGAAGTAAAGGGTCTTGGATCCTACACTGTCTTCAAGGTTCTCAGTGGCCCCAGCTTATGAGCCCAGGCAGGAGTGTCCTGGTCTTCTGGCAGTCTGGTGAGGATGATCACTGGATGTTGCTTGTTTTTTGTTTTATCAGGGCCCGTTGGTCTTCCCAAGCTAACTCACTTTCACTATTGCTCTCCTATTTGAAACAAGACACTAAACACCCTCACATCCTCCAGCCAGTATTTGGATAGGCTGTTCATCCCTCAGCTTTATGACAAGATGACCGTTTAATCTGCCTCTGTCTCCCCTATAGGATATATTGGAACCTGTGCATGTTTTCCATGACACATAATGGAAACAATGCTTGGGATTAGGAAATCCAAACTGGGTTCTTTTTCAGGCCTCTCAGGCTCCACAGCTTAGTCATATGGTCATGTGCACGGTTGATAGGTTCTTGGTCCCTGGGCTACTTCACATAAATGCAGTCACTGTTGTATTGGCTTCCCTTCTGTGGTAGCCCCTTCTCAGTTCAAACAGAGTGGGACACATCTCTGCTTTTCTTTCAACCAACTTAAGATGCCTTCCTTTCCTGAGAATCTAGACCAGAAAGGGGAGAAACTTAGACTTGGTTGCTTATTTTTCTTACTCTTGTGCCTCTTTTTTTTTTTTTTTTTAAAGATTTATTTATTTATTCATACAGAACTGGGGTACAGGCCAGAGGCTCAGGGGCGGTGAGAGGCTTCACCAGAGACAGAGTGGGGAGCAGAACAGGCAGATTGACGAATCAGGCAGATTGACGAATCAGGCAGATTGACGAATCAGGCAGATTGACGAAGTACACTGCTGAGGGAAGCAGCGGGCGGGCCAGGAGAGGTCTGGCTCGCCATGTGGTCTCCTCCGGGGAATCGAACTCATGCGGAAGTGGCTTCAGATTCTCAGTGCTGCGCTTTAACCCGCTGCGCCACCAGGGAGGGCCACTCCTGTGCCTCTTTTAAGGGGAGTATCAGCCCTTGCATTTCTCTTCCTATTTTTAAAGTCTACTTTTCCTTCTATTATAATCTCATCCAATATTGGCCAGAACGGGTATTTCTGGTCTTTGTCTTCCAGGACCCACTGAACATAGGTGTCCTGGCTCCACTAGGAAATAGGGATGAATAAGAACAAAGTTTTTGCTTTAACCAGGGGGGATATTAAAATTGATAATAACTGACTATCAAAAATTAATGCCAGCCATAAGCAGCTGGTCTGGTTAGACTGGTGAATATCGAATAAACTAAAATCTATCTTGGGTCTAAAATCCCCCAAGTAGAAACCCCTTGAAGTGAGGTTGGTTTCTGAAGGCATCTGAGAACCCCTGAAAGTCTATCAAGAAGAGAAATCATGAAAGGTAAACTAGAAAGATTCTTTTTGCTGTTTCCCCAGTGCTGCTCCAGTCCCACCTTATAGAACCCTCTCTGCAAGGCTAAGAGAAAACACCACTGTCAAGTTCCAGGAATGTTGCTAATTTAAATTTGCATCATTTCCAGACAAATATTGTTTGGTCCTTCCCAAACACTTCTGAAATTCCACCCTCTGGAATTTCTCTGCTCTACTCCTAAAATTGAAGTTTCCTCAAGCAACTTTGCTGCCTTGAGTCAGATAACTCATACCCTGAATTATGTCCTTAGGTGATTAGGAGGAAATACACAACAGATGGAGCTGAAATAGTGCTACTGACTGATGGGGAAGACAATACCATAAGTGGGTGCTTTAACCAGGTGAAACAAAGTGGAGCCATCATCCACACAGTTGCCTTGGGACCCTCGGCAGCGCAAGAACTGGAGGAGCTATCTAAAATGACAGGTGAGTCATAGCCTCTGACCTCTTCCACTGCACAGGTATCCAGTTAACTTGAAGAGAAAGAGAAGGGTGGGATAAGGACAGTTAATGGTAATTTTATTGGGCCACTGGCTGTTCTTGCTCCCAAATGACCATTAGCCCTGACTCATCCATTATTTTATGGCCTTGGTTTTAGGAATAGTGCAGTCTGGAAAAGATGAGACCAGCACAGCACCCTGATGAGGACTTGGAACTCTCTTCCCAAACACTTTATAAAGACTGGGAAGAATCTGATATGTTAATTAGGAAACACTTCCCATTGACAGCAGGTCAAGACACCCTAAGGGATAACTGATAAGCCACTGGTTACATGATGCCATGACAAGTGTGCTTTATTAGCAAGAGAATAAAACATTAAGAAGAGAAGCTTTATCTGGTGAATAAGGGTACAGGAAAATATGAGTTGTGATGTTAACAAGGAGGGGCAGAGGAAGGGCAAAATGACCTGCTGGAATCACACACCCAAGGTCACTCTGAAAATGTAAAGATGATGCAGTTTCTCTATAGAACATTAATGTGTTGTGCTTCTAACTCCCATACACAGACAGACAGTTAAAATAGACCCCATGTGTCCTGACCTCTTTAGCAGAGTAGATGGGCACACTTTCTTTTTAAACTTAGGGTCAGTCATTTGGCTTCATGGGTTCTCCCATATGTTAGTATATGAGCTTCATAACAAGTTTTATGACATTAAATTTGGTCTGTCAGCTAATTTGTAAAAAGTGGTCAGTTGACTGATGTTGAAATTATTTAATAGGGTTATAAAATTCTTGTCAACTTCTGAGTTTACCTAGATACCTATTTGGTGTTGATATATTGACACTTCAGTAGCCTATACGATGATTATTTTGTATATTATGCTATCTTAATAACCAAAGTGTTGCAATAACTAAAATACCTGCTTTCTCAAAAAGTAACTTGTGATAATATAATTGCATTTTAGGAGGTTTACAGACATTTGCTTCTGATCAGGCTCAAAACAATGGCCTCATAGATGCTTTTGGGGCGCTTTCATCAGGAAATGGAGCTATCTCCCAGCGTTCCATTCAGGTCAGAGCTCTTTCTCATGTTTTTAAAATAAAGATAACCATTAAAATCTCCATTTTGGCTAACAATTTGAAATTATACATTTTTCTAGTAGTGAATGCAAGTTAAAATGGAAATTTCAGTCCAGTAGTAAACATTATTCATAAAATGCAGCACTACTCATTTAGACAAGGCAATTTGTGTTTGTTGAAATAATGCTAAGTGATTTCCCCCATAGAATCTAACAACATAAAACATGATGGATTCAAAATTTATTTTTAAACACCTGTTAATAAGTACTGGTAAAAATATAATTGGCTTAGAATTATCTTTGGAGTAGATAATTGCAATACACATTTTCTGGGATAAATCTCCAGGGATTATTTACTCTCTTTTCCCATTACCTCAAGTCCCCAAATTTGCCAAGATTTTCATGTATTGGCTGGAAAATGCTTTGTACCATGAAAATAGTGACAATTCAACACCTGAATCCTGGCTTACGTCTTCCATTATCTGTAACCATAGACAAAGAACTTCACTCTCTGTCTCAGTTTCTCAGTCAGATATAACAGAAAACTTCCACAGATCTTTCTCATTCTAAAATTTCAAAATCAAAATTTTAAAAATCTTAGAACTTTAGAAAAAGAACAAGTGTATCATAAAGTACTCTTCAGTAGCTGCAAAAATTATTTACATGAATTTCTAAACTAGTGTGAGTGAATAATCAACACTCAACTGGGTGAATTATACTTTTACCATGAAACTTTGGATAAAGGTAAAGGAAAAATATAATGACAGCCAAATACTGACAGATATCTAAAAATGGGCTTTCTAGTCTGCCAATGTAGCATTTATTTAAAAAAAGACATCAACAACTATATTTGTATGTGCTATTCTACCTAAGATTAAAAAAAATTAAAGAGCCTGGTTTAGAAATGGGAAGGATGCTTAAGAAAAATAACTAAATTAATGAAAGTATACTCAAGTAGTTTCTGCCTATTATTTTTGTATTTTAGAAGCTTAATAAAGAGAGAGAAATGAGGACTGATTTATTCACCTGCTATAACAATCAGATTTATCAGTCCTACCTCCAAATAGACATTTCAGTATGTAAGGCCATAATTTATCTATGATCCTAGATACCTTGAAAGTCATCCTATCCTCTAATGAATTATCAATTTAAGGACAATAAATAATCATCTAACAGAAAATGCACAAGATCTCATTTCTATTGAAGTCTTGTTAACCCTTTTCTACCTCAATCCCTGCTCCAAAGTGCCTTAACCCATCTCCAAACAAGTCACCATTAGCCATGGACTTGCTTTGTTTATATTTACAGCATTTACATTGGTTATCTGCAATCCACATGTGGTTGAAAGTAAATGTCAGTCAGTCCCCTCAGGGCTTCTAGTCTAATTCTTGAAATGAACTGTATACACTAGGAAGAGAAAACAATGTAAGAATGAGATTTTATAGGAATTCCTAGAAAGATGAGGCTATTACCAGCTGATCAGAAAGTGATAACTTAAGTAAATTTAAGGGTGGGAAATGCTTAGACAAATAGAGATAAACATATAGACTTACAGGAAAACAAGAGCATATTCTAAAGTCATAGACTTGGGGATTCATGAGGATCACTTGGGGAAGTAGTCTGATTTGTGTGTAAGAATAAACATTATGGCAGGTAAAACTAGACAGAAAATTTGCCGTGGGATTGTAATATAGCCTAAATACCAAGTCAAAGACTCAGGCATCAGTGAGAGATTTTTAATAAGGCAACTCGGAGTTGTGGGCAGAATTGTAAAGGTTGTATAATGGAAGCAATATTTCCCAGAAAATAAGTTGTTTTTTTTCTTAACAGCTTGAGAGTAAGGGCTTAACCCTCCATGATACTCAGTGGATGAATGGCACAGTGATTGTGGACAGCACTGTGGGAAAGGACACTATGTTTCTTATCACCTGGACAACAGTCCCTCCCCAAATCCTTCTCTGGGACCCCACTGGAAAGAAACAAGAAGGAATTTTGGTGGACAGAGAATCCAAACTGAGCTACATCCAAATCCCAGGCATTGCCAAGGTAGAGAGTCAACCTTTTTTCCTCTGACAATTTCTTAAAAAAAAAAAAAAGAAAGAAAGAAATGTTGACAGTAATTATAGCTTTAAATGTGTATGGTTACTGAGAGTCAATACTTAATAAAAAAAAAAAAAAGGAAGAAAGAAAAATTTTCATCTAATGGAAATCACAGGTGAAGAGAAAGGAAATTGGTGGTGTTTTCTCCAAGTGCTAAAAAGGGAGTCTTCAAATTATATAGTAGCAAGATGCAAAATGATCCTTGAAGTTTCAGGGTCATGGAAATTATTTCATCTACCCCAAGAACCCATCATTTTGATCCTGTTCTTGTGAAACCAAGATAATGATATGGACACAAGATCTGACTTGATTTTCTTCAAGTAGGGGTTTTCTTAACAAGAACATGCACATAGAACAAATAGCAAAAATTTCTTTGACTCACAGTGCAATGATCTTAGATATGCTTGCATTTGCTTGGACTAGCTAAGCTCTTCCTATAGGTGGCACTGAACTCAGCAGTATGACACCTACAATTATTCCTTAGAAATATCTCCATTTGTTTTGATCAGGTTGGCATTTGGAAATATAGTCTACAAGGAACTTCCCAGACCCTGACTTTGACTGTCACCTCCCGTGCATCAAATGCTACTTTGCCTCCAGTTACAGTGGCATCTAAAATGAACAAGAACACAGGAAAATTCCCTAGCCCTATGATAGTCTATGCAAAGATTCACCAAGGAGCCACACCTATTCTCAGGGCCAGTGTCACAGCCCTGATAGAATCCGTGAATGGGAACACAGTTACCTTGGAATTATTGGACAATGGAGCAGGTAACCACCCAACCACCTTTCTTTTTTAAAGGCAGCCGGGGAACAGCAGGTAGGAGTAACCTAGTGAGAATAGAAGCAGAATCCAGCACTAGGGGTTTGGTTGGGAGAGTCCTTTGTTTCCCATAAATTCCTATGTTTCAGAAAGTCAGATATTACTAAGAATGGCCAGCCTTCAGCTTTTGCAAAGCCAAAGATTTATAAGTGGCTCAAGCTCAATAGGTTCATAGACTCCAGGAAGTAGCCAGAGGGATTTCACACTCCCCAAATTGGGAAGGAGGGAAATAGGTATTTCATGTTAGGTATTTGTGTGAAGATTTTCTAGATATAATATGTACACATACATTTATCCCTTCATAATTGTCTTTACCGCCCACTTTGAGATATTATTATCCCTACATTACAGAAGAAACTTAAGCTTTTACATTTAGAAAGCAACATTTCTCTTAGCATGATTTTGTTCATTTTGGGAATATAAATTACCAAAGAAAACAAACTGACAAAGCACATCAATCATGATTCTTATACTTTGTGAGTAATATACTATTTACCAGAGGAAATAGAGGGTAAGGAAGAAGGTATTTGGGAGAGGAGGGAATAGAACAGTGACAATAGGGCATTGGTGGAGAGTGAGTGAAACATGTCAGTAATGGAGGTATGAAGTACTCCTAAAATTATAGTTATGTAAACAATTAACAAGTGAATTTTGAAAAGCAGCAGAGATTCCTGTATTTATGTCAACTTCATATTATCTAGCTCCCACAGTGAAATCTTGCCCATTTAAATCTCTAACAGAAAAAGAGCATTCTATGCATTTTTAGAATGACCCTGATTGCTTTCTGTGATGCAAATAACTGAGCTAAACAAATTTTATAATTTCTTATCTAAATGTACCCTGCGGGAAAATGACAAATTTTAAATAATAATGCTATGACATTTTTTCTCCCAATTATATATTGCAATTCAATTCAACTCAAAAGATATTTATTGAGTAATTAGTTATCTTATGTTATGGTAAATATAACAGACACATGACATGACCTGTAATTTTAAAAGGAAAGACAATTCAGCTCGACAAGATGCACAAATAGGAAATAAACACAGAGACATAGGTTAAAAAAAAGTAGACCTCATTCTTAACATAGTCAAATCTTAAATTTTTTTGAAGCTATTGCTTTTTTATCTATGCTTTTTTAGCTCACATATAAATTGGAATTGTAAACTGTTCAGTTGCCTTTAAGATATCCAGTAAATCCCTCATTTCCCTGTCAAGGTGCTGATGCTAGTAAGGATGATGGTATCTATTCAAGATACTTTACAGCTTATGATGAAAATGGCAGGTACAGTGTAAAGGTGAGAGCCCTGGGAGGAAGTACTGCAGCCAGACAAAGGGCAACACACCAGCAGAATGGAGCCATGTACATACCCGGCTGGATTGAGAATGGTAAGTGCCAGCACACCTCCATTGATAAAAAAAGGCTTGGGTGGTACCCAGAGGAAACCCTTAAGCCTATGGGAAGAATGGTGCAGGATTAAATCAAGGTTTCTCAACCTTGGCATTATTGACATTTGGGATCAAATAATTCTCTGCTTTGAAGGGCTATTGTAGGCTATTTAGTGTCATTTCTGCCTATTACCCATTAGAAATCAGAAGCAGCCCGCCAAAATCATCAGGTAACATCCATTGTCTCCTAGATGGCATAGGGAAAGGTGCTTTAAAAAGATGCCATTGTCTCCAAAGCTTTTTCACATATTTCAGCTTATTTTCATTTGTCCTTTTTTGAGTTATGGGAAGAAGGCAGGTGGAGATAGTGGTTATATCTAGTTTTATACCCAGTGTTTTACTGACATTAGTACCTCTCATTCTTCTAAATACCCTGTTTTACAGATGGGAAAATAGAAGCTAATGAGGTTACTGATCTACATAACTATAGTGATAGCATGCATCTTGGTATTGGGAAACCATGTTCTTCCTCTATCCCTATTGGTGACTCAAATACTAATCCCAAAACCAGATTAATGTAAACCACATATGAAGACCAATCTGTCTTTATAGCCAAAAGTTTTTTTTTTTATTTTTATTTTTTAAGATTTATTTATTTGCATACAGAGCAGGGGTACAGGCCAGAGGTGCAAGGGTGGTGAGAGGATTCACCAGAGACAGAGTGGGGAGCAGAACAGGCAGATCTACGAAGTACACTGCTGAGGGGAGCAGTGGGCGGGTCAGGAGAGGTCTGCCACACCATGTGGTCACCTCCTGGACAGGCGGGGATCGAACTCATGCAGAAGTGGCTTAAGCTTCTCAGTGCGGTGCTTTAACCCGCTGCGCCACCAGGGAGGGCCTATAGCCAAAAGTTTTAAGCACCAATGAAGTAGCAAAAATAAATCCTGAGTGGTGTCATGATAGGGCGTTATATACTAAACTTATTGGAAAAGAGAGAGCCCTCTCAATGAGTAGGACAGTGTCTTATTTTCAATCCCAGGTTACTTTTCTACAACCTTTCAACAAGAATGCAAATAAAACTGGGACTGTTATCTGAACTAGGTTCCCATGCATTTATTGAGAAAAAAATCAGAAACAAAATTTTAAAGTACCTAACATAAAACATGTCAGAGAAACTGCAATCTAGTAAGATAAAGCACAAATGTGGAGAAAGCAAAAAAGGCATGGGATGGATAATGAAGTTAATTCTTGAAGGCCCAGATGATGGATTACAAGATAAAAAAGAAAACTAATAAACCAACATTCGGTGGAAGAGATTTTGTAGAGCAATTTGAGAATATTGAAACAGAAGTAGTTTTAATGTCTGGGTAATATAAGGATAGCTAAAAAGATGGGAAAGAAAATTTCAGGAAAAATATTGTGAATATAATTCTAAAAGTGATTCCATTATGCACCCACAAAATGGCTAAGATTACTTGATTTTTTAACTTTTTCCCCTTTGATGCAACCTGCTTTGGAATCTTTATTCCAATTAGTTAACATGAATTCTATGTGTGGGAGAAAATAGGGACAAGGAGAGAGTATGAAGAGGGTAACCTGGTAACAAAAGAGGGAACAACACAACATAATGGTGTTGCTTATCATGTAATGTAATGCAGGCAAAATAAAATGGAACCCACCAAGGCCGGAAATTAATAAGGATGACCATCAAGGCAAACAAGTATGTTTCAGCAGAACATCTTCTGGAGGCTCATTTGTGGCCACCAATGTCCCAATGGCTCCCATACCTGATGTCTTCCCACCTTGTCAAATTACCGACCTGAAGGCACAAATTTCTGGGGAAAGTCTCATTAATTTGACGTGGACGGCACCTGGGGATGATTATGATCACGGAAAAGGTAAATTAAAAAAGGAGTGAACCCTGTAATGCTTGGGAACCAAGCAGAGGTGCAGAAGGGGGTGAGGCAGACAGGAATGTTGTCATGTACATAGAAAGCAGAAGGGTCTTGAATGCCCACTGGCATGAAAGGGCAAGATTGTTT